CCGCTGTCGCGCCTGGCCTCCATTCCCGCAGCCCCCGCCCGCACTTACGCTCCGAGCGCGCAGCCGCCGGCCGCGCTCAGCTCGCCGTCCTCCGGCTCGAAGCCCAGCGCCAGCAGGTACAGCCAGAGGTGCTGCTTCTCCCACTGCGCGCCCGCACAGGACGACATGGCGCCTCAGCCTGCTCCGCTGCCACTGCTGGCTCTCCACGACCCTTCTCGATGATCCTTCTTGACGACCCCCCGCGACGCGCTCAGCGCCTCCACATCGCCGGCCCCGACCCGACCCGACCCAACCCGACCCGAAGCGCTCGCCGCGGCTGCYGCCACCAACTGCCGCGCGCGCGGCAGCCGCGGGGGCTCACGGGAGCGGCCGTTGCTAACGGCTGCGCGGCGGGAAGGGGCGGGCGCGCCGGCCGCCATTTCGTGGAGCTTTGGGTGGAGGGTGGCAGGGTCGTCCTGTCCCGTCGCGGCTGGGGTGCTGCGGCTGCCACAGAGGCTGGTGAGGGTCAGCCCCGCAGTTAAACCCAGACGGCGGCAGGAGAGGGGCCATACCGATATTTCTCGCCTTCTTTCAGCAGCGGTGTGGATGAGATGAATCCCAGAAGCCTTTTCCTGCTTCCGTTATTTCAGTCTGTTCACAAACGTTAATACAGAAGAGGTTCCCCCACCGCCCCAACCCCACACACCACAAGGAAAAAAAAAATCACAGCAGCAAAATTTTAAATAAACTTTTATTTCAAGGCATTTTCAGTGACTAGACTTACAAAGTTTTCACAACAATGAAGCGTTAGATTATATTAGGATATAACTAGAGGTGCCAATCTGACAGCTCTAGCTGGCCACGAAACGTTTCTACGCAGAATGAGCAGGTGTACAAAAGTAGCACCATGTATCATCCCCAGATCTCCGACAGCCATCCCAAGGACACTGGCAGGATTGCTGCGTTGGAGCTCGGCACGAGCACATGGAAACATAGACAATTTGCCTCTAGTCAAGTTCCTAAGTATCCCCATCTCCTACTGAAATTGTATGGTGTGCAAGCGTGTGCAGATTCGGCAATTCTTAGCAAATATTTAACTCAGATACATTCAAAGATGTCCACTGTTGCCAAATAAATGACCACTTTCAATTAACTTCCTTTTGTCACTCTTTCTTTGAATGTGCATTTATCCCACATCTGTTTGCATCTTTCCTTTTCCTTTTCCTTGCTTTTTCCAGTGTCATCCTTATTCCTGTACGATTTTTAAGATCATTTCTTCTAGTTTCAGGCCCCACTGCTCATAGCATCACGATGGCCAATATTGTTGCACGTGGGAGGCGTGTGGAGGGGAGCGGAGCCCTTGCATGTGCAAAGCACTCCAGCCAGATGCAGAGGCCAGCAAGAATCACCTGAGAGAATTGGAGTCGGCCAAAGTCCTTTTACCCCTTCCAGCAGCAGAGGTAGATGCAGAAGCACTTTACATATAGGCTGAGAGGGAAAATTTTGCCCATATGTTCTAGTCAGCTCCTTTTGTTGGCAGCTTTTTTGCAGAGCACTGGTGTGTTTCCTTGGCTACTGCTGCCAGGAGAACAGCTACTRATACAAACCGTTAGCAAAGATTAGGATATATCAATTATGCTATCTCTCTTCCTGGGTAGGACTTTGACACACATGCTATTGAGTTAACCTAGCATGCATTCCTTAGAGGGAAAAAAATCCGAATTTTGATGATGCTAAGTGAAACAGTACTGGTTCAGAAAAACAAATAATTTAAGAAAAACACACAACACAACCTGGAAAACAAAAAYCCAGAGCTAGGTAGATTCATCTTTACATAAGTTAAATAAGCATTGTGACAAAACAATCAGAAAAAAAAGAAAACATTTTTATCCCCTGTAGTTATTCAGCTCTTTGTCCTGCAGTGAAAGGACCATTTGTGCGTGAAAAGTCTTGTTGATCTTCTTCATCCAAATCCAAAATGTCTGGGATATCATCTGACTCTGAAGATAAGTCTGTAATTGTGAAATCTGGAACCTGCATTGGAAGAAATTGGAAATCAATTCCAAGATTGAACTAAATAAATTTGGGTAATTTCAGTTGTGACTGAAACCAAAAGGAGCCATCTCTGGAAAATCAGACGCAAAATACTGAACACATATTGAAATATGCTACGTTAAATGTGCTAAGACAGGCAAAACATTAAGCAAGACATAAATTACTTGCTGAGGAGATATGATTTTAAAGTAGAAGTGGAACAGAGCAATTGACTTAGCAAATTTGACTTAGTTTTGTATTTAGAAAAAAAATGCAATATTAAGAAACAAAATTTTTATCTTCTTGTCTTTCTTTCCATGGACAAAGTGTGTTATATAGAGGATCCTACCTAGGTGGGGTTGATATGGATTGCTCTGTGTTGCTATGCTGGTTTACCCCATCAAACTTTTACTGAGGAAACAAGTATCTGGAACTGCAAAATTGCTTTGGCTTCTGTTCTAACTGGTTGATTAGTCTTATTCTGTACTGTTAAACCATATTATACATTTAACTACCGTTAAGCAGGAGTTGTCAGAGATATTAGTGGATATGTGGATATTACACACCTCTAACAATGTTAGCTTAAGGGACTTAACCTAAATCCTTAAGTACCATTAGTAGGACTACTAATATCCTTTTTTTTTTTTTTTTTTTTCCAGAAATAATTTAGGCACAACCACATTTTTTTTCCAAGTGAAAAAATATGTATGTATAGTTTTATATATATATAAGTATAACATATCAATGAGTATAAATCTGTATAGCTTGATTCATTTTTTGGTTATTTGTTATTGATGATTGATATTGATGATGTGAAAAGTGAAGCACAAAACACAAGCATATCACCGCTGCTGTGCGTTCACAGGTGTTTGCACATAAAAGCACCTTTGTATGTGAGGGGCATCGAGGCATGTTTTCAACCTAATCTGGAGAAGTCCTAATTGCATGCACTAATTGCAAAAAATAAGTAAAATTGCTTATGACTGACTTTAATGAAGCACATTCTGAAAACCTCTGCTATATCCAGAAAAATCTATCAGAAGAAAAGAGAGAGATTATGTTGCAACTATCAGGTTACAGATACCTCCCTCTGAAGGTGAATTATTCAGTTCCTTGGAGTTTAGGTGAATATAGCTCACCAATGACTTAATAACTCATTTATGTAATTAAAACAGATTCAGAAGAATTTAAAGAACGTGTCATTTATCAGGTACAAGTACAGGAATGCCAAGTGCACTCAGAGAGTTTTTCCAACAAGATTGGTTATCCTGGCATGCTAAAAGCCAAGTGACTCTAGTAATGGGGAAAACTACATATTTCTACCAGCAACAATTATGTTATACTTTTCTGCTTGTAATCCTGTGGTATGCTTATTGTGTTTATACTGAACAAGGCACATGACCACAGTTGCAGTGATAATTTTCACTGTAACCTAAGTTTAAAGTACTTCTGTTACTCATATCCATGTTGTTATTATTGAGAATAGAATTATTAATACTGAAAATAGGATAATCAGCCTCTCTGATCTCTTCAGCACATGCACTTTATGCAGTGAACTCCTTTATACAACAGTAAGATGTCCAGAGCCATAGGAGTGTTTTTGCCCCAGATGTTATGGGACCTTCACTTCCATAGGACCTTGTGTTTACTTACAGTTTAATTTCATAGTTAATGGGAAGATGAAACAAAGCAGTATGTCAATTCTCAAAATAAAGAATAAGGGTAGATATTGCTCTTCTTCCTGTAAGTCTTCCATAAAGGCAGCTAGATCCTATTACTACTGCCCTGCCATCTCCTGTAAGTACTCAGAAATGACAAGTGCTTTGGAATAACATTTTGTTATTAACGTAGATTGCATTTATTTTTATTTTGTTCTATTAAAATGTGTTTTTTTAATAACTTTTAMACATGTATTTCTAATTAAGAATTCCAATATGCAATTTGGAGTTCACCAGTGCTTATTCTGGTATGAATGTATTATGCTAGGTAGAATTATTTGCAAAATTTTAAGTACATGGACTCATAACAAAAGTTTATCACCAATGACAGAATAATAGTGTTAGGCTAAATGAGCCTGGAAAGCAGAAGTGGATGACTGAACGCTGTGRATGATTTTGAGCCATCTCTGGAACAGAATGCTACAGAATCTTAACAGTGATAATTTTCTCATTAATTTTCTAACTTGTACTGTCCCAGTGTTTAWACAATTGGCCACCTTTGACACTTCTCTCAGGAAGTTTATCTGCCCTGCCTAAAACAGCATCACCCGTTTCACACCATTTACAAGCCAGGTGGCTGACCTGCTCTTCAGCAAGCTTCTCCCCATCTTTTCTGTTAGCCTAAGCTATTTTTTTCCAAGTRTTTAAGACTAAAATCAGGAAGTTTCTGTATAGTGTAACAAACTATGAGTACTCTGAGTCAATATTTTAACATTTTCCTCCTTTCATTTTGGAATTTTCAGCAAGTATTATGAACCAGGAATATCCTAATTTGCTGTTGGGCTTTAGAGGAGAGTTTTTGGAGTTTCAAGCGTAAGTAATTGACTTCTTTCTGCTTTTTATGTAATATGTTAAAAATAATTTTTTCGGGAACTAGTTTTCCTTTCTCCTTTCAAGAGAAAAAAAAAAAAAGCAAACACACAGATACAGGGGAAAACACCCCCCTAACAACCTCTAAAGGCTTCAAAACTTCCGAAATTTGAAAATTCAACCATTTTCCTCCAAGAAGGAGTTGCTAATTCTTCTGGAACGTAGAAACATTATTTTTCTGTTGTTTTGCTTTCTAAAAGAACTAAACAACAGGATGCAATAGCCTATGTACTTTTTCATGTTTGTCTCACTCTGAATATATAAGCACTAATGCACGGTGAAAGTATTTGCAAGATTGGACTAGTARCATTTCTCCTAGATTGCTAACATTCTTAACAGGAAAGCTAAACAGGCCACCTATCCAACAAAGACAGTAAGCAGTTGTACAACTTAAGGTACAACAAAAGTATGAATTGCTTTTACATTAAAAATGGAGGCTGCTGTTAATTTCTAGGCTATAAGTAGTGATTAAGCAGTTTGACTGTCTTGTTTGATTAATGTGTAAAGTCAGGAATTCCCTCCACTGAACTATGAACTACTCCCAGACAGTGTTAGCTCCATTCTGTTTCTGCACTCCTATRCAACAGAGGAGGCCTTCTACAAGTTTTATTCTATTGAGAGATGAAAATGAACACTAACTCTAGATAGCTACTTCTAGAGGGAAGAACTATAGAAATACTAACTCATGCCCRAACACTGGTGACAGTTATCTCACTTTTACAAAAAAGCAAGCTATTAAAGGCTAGAAATTCAAAAAATCTTGGTCTTTAGCCTTCAATGGCCAGGATTTTGTTTAATATTATGCTTAAAACTCAAMAGCACACTGTCTTTCTAAAACTTAGCTGACTTAACAGCCAAGCTTTCCCACCTTACRGGGCTAGGTTGCATATGATTTGCTTTAGTGCAGATACACATTCGCAGTGCAGGTTGTGCTCCATGTAGCAACATGCTCCCTCTTCTTCATGAGACATCAAACCTTGGTCCAAACTCCATTTTTTATTTACAGTAGGAATGGCCTCCATGAAGAAGATGTTAATACTGCCCCACTAAATGTTTGCAATTCACAGTAGCACTTACCTGCTCAGGACTAAGTGAAGAGTGTGTTGAAGAGAAATACAGTTACTAAGAGGAAGGATTCAAGGGATTTACTAAAGAACTATTTCTCTGACCTAGAGAAGCATTGATGTACATTAGAAACTCAAGCCCAAAGCAGGCAGATAAAGTTAACAGACCAAAGTGTGTTTGTTCAGTGTAGGGCTATAGGCTAGCTGTAAGCAGGCAGCAAAAGCAGTTATTTGGGAGCCTCACACCACACAGAGCATCGAGAATGAAGACAAGACTTGCTTTTGTTGGTGGTGGGTTTTTTTTTTTTGTTGTGGTTTTTGTTTTGTGAATTCATATTCTTCTCAAGTCTCCATTAGAAGAGACTCCACCAACTCACATCCATCAACTCACAAGCTCCATCAACAAGTAACAGTAAGCACCAAAAAGCAGCAGTAAAGCTAAGATGGAAGGGAAGGACAGACAGGAACTCACAGGGATGAAAGTACAGCAGCATTGCTTTATCTATACCCACATGTACATTTTCAATATGTCTACTTCACTTGCATTTCAAGCTTGCCTTCTGGATCCAGTGCACCAGAGTCACAGAACAGCAAGTTACTCTTGTTTTAGACACCATTCAATAGAGACAGGCTTTTGCAGCTGAAGCATTTATTGCTAGCATACAAAATTACAAAAGATCACTACAAAAAAACAGCAGGCACGTTGGTACAAACAGCATGAATCTTGGTTTTTTACTGCATTTTTTTTTAAAGTGCGCTTTGATAGTGATTTGGTAAGGTTACGGTGTAGTACAATAGAAAAGTTATATAGTTAATATTAGCAATGTCACAGCATTTAAGTAACTCTGTCTGACTCATGCAAGAAACCCCACTTTCAGCTTTGAGTTCTGCACTGGCAAGACTSTTCATGAGTCACAGGTAGTGCAAGGCAATCCAAGACAATTGCACAGGCAGAGCTGTAATAATCAAATGCTTGATCTGCACCAAGCATGGAATTCAAGTGTACTGAGCTAGACTGGAAGGCTTTTAAATRCACGTCGAGGCATGTAAGGCTTCTGCATTATTCTGATTCAGATTGAACAAGCCACCRAGTGATTTTAGCCATGGCTGATTTCAGTTAGAGAAATGTTATTAAATGAGCATGATGAGGTTTCTTAACTTGACAGACAAACAAGGCATCTTCACAACTGTAAACTGATGATGCTTAGGCATTTCAAGAGTGTTTTCAGAAAGACTTTACTAGATTGGACAATACAGTCCAGTTGTGGGAAAACATCCTTTTTATCCTTTTTTCCCCCCACTCCCACATATGGATTTTTTTCCAAGGTATTTGACAGCTACAGTTGTTAGAGTCACTTGTTTGGTCAGTCTACAGAGTACATATATGCTATGCAATTTATTCAGTACTGTGTTCAAGCTGTTTGTCTTCCTGGCTGGAATTTTCCTCCCCTTCACCTTCGCTCTCAGCATGCTCAATACCAGCCAATTGGGGGTAAAAGGGACCTACCAGCCAATTAAGCGGTGTGTTGTTAACCAGATAATCCATCACATCATCCAGAGACTCCTTCATTTTCTTCAGCTGTCCTTTGCTAGTGGTAAGGAAGCTGTCTGACAGTTCTTGGAAGGAAGATGCTGACCGAAAGCTCTGGTAGACATCACCTGCCATTGACCCAACACTGTAAACCTGGTCCTGCACATTCTGTGGAAGCCCCTGTATGCTGGAGACCAGGGTGAGGCAGGTGGTCTGCAGCTGCTGAGTGAGGCTTCGCGCAATAGCTAGAGTTCTTGACTCAATGTGCTGGAAACAAAGCATAACACCACATCAGAATCTTGGTATCCCTGTTGTAGCTTTATGGTGAAGATGTACCAAAGAGAGAAGTGACATAGGCAAAATAAAGCTATAGCAGATGGTAAAACAAGGCTTAAGTCTTAAGAGATAGAGACAGAACTTGAAAGTACTTGATATTTCTTCAGTGTTCAAGTACTTTGTGGAACAGAAACACCCATAGCTTGTCCCCAGCTAAGCAGGCTCTTGTTTCAGTTCTGGATAAGCAGCCATAGCAGGCAAGTTCACTCCAGTCAAAGACTCAATGTTTCAAGCTATATACACATAATCCTCAGCAAGTCTGTGCCTCAGACTGCTTTGTATGTCAAACTGGCATTTCCAGCAATCTCAAATGAGTGAATCCTAGCTGATCTAGATGTGAATATCCCAACATGTTCACATGGGAAATAGAATAGGGCTTCTCCTGAAGGAGAATGGACCTCAGAGTGCTTGTAGGACTCAGCAGCTTGGGCATCTTCTACATTTAATAGCTGTCACTGGCAGCTGCCCTAAGCTTTACCATGAAGTGGTAATGCAGGGAATACATTGTTCTGTGAAGATGCTGTGAACCTTTGGGACAGTAAGTTTTCAGTGGTAACTCTGACAATATGTAATTCATTTATTTCTGGTATGCATTTACATCYATTTACCTCAGCGCTATGCGATTCATCACCATCATTTTGGCCTGTATTTTTCTTCCATTCTACCCAGGATTGATATAGTTTTTCCTGAGCATCAAGAAGTTTCTGATTGGCACTATTCATGTTCTTTCTGGCATACTCGATCTGAAATACAGCCAAAGGAGAAGGGAAACAAACAGTGCAAACATTTCCATTAAGGCTGCCCTACTTTCCCTTCCTTGTAAACTGTTTTTAAAATACCCAAAGTTTAAGACAAAAAGCTTTGGGAACAATAATAACCTATTGCTGCTTTCCAAAGAAAAATGAAAACTAGAAGCAGTTTTAAGACATCATCCAGGCTATCTTCTGGCTCAATCATATATTACTCAAGTTTGTTTTCACCCCTTTGCAACCAGCCTCCTGCACAAGAAACTGAAGATGTAGAGGGTCAGGACTTTATGTAGTTTCTCCCAAGTATGCAAAGACATAGTGCTAAGATCAGACTACCAAAGAATGCAGGAGTGCTAAGAGATATCCCACAGCAAGAAGCAAAGCAAGAACATAAACAATACTACATTTCATTAACAGAAAGTGCTGAAGTGTTCCTAAACTGAAAAACTTTCTTCACTGAATGAAGCCGACTAGCATTACTAATCAAAATTAACTCTAGAAGTTCTTAAAAATTACAGGCAATTGCTAGTTAGTTTATAGCTCAGTCCAACTGAGTACCTTTCCAGAAAGGCAATGAAAAAGCTTTGAACGGCATGTGAATTATATTGCCTTTGGTCTGAAAACACCATCTCTCACAYCACTTGGCCTGTAAAACCACTTAGCCACTTAGTTTTACTAAGTCAGTATCTGCTTTTTATATCCCAAATAAAAGCTTAAACTTACCAGATTAACAGTGTGGTTGAGCTGAGAGATTGTCTCCTGGCTTTTTTGCTTAGCATCTCTAACTTTGTTTAAGGCTTGTTGGTAGGCACGTGCACGGACCTTTGAAGATAGGGAGCCTAGTCTAACATAGTAACTTGGCTTTTGAACTCCAACTTCAAATCCTTCAACTTTTGCAGCTTCTTGCTCTAGTTGTGTGGAAAGAAGAGAAAATACAGATCAGACTGGAAAAAAAGTATGAAACAATTTCAGTTGCTTGAAATAATGACAGAACGCTAGACTTCAGCACTGGGTAGGCAGAATCAAGGGCATGCTGAACTCCTTACTACTTCCATTCTGCCATTCTGCTTCCCTCCCAACAAGACACTATTACAAACAGCAAGGCAGAATTTGACCTCCCCACAATGACTAGAATAAGGATTCTCTGCTTCTCTTCAGAATAASCATTTCAACAAGATCAAGCTGTGAATTTGTCTTACCTATCTCCTGTTCTGTAAGTGGGAGATACTGGTCTACAAAGGTCTCTGACTTAGTGAGTGCGGTATCCACTCCACTGCTAACGATTTGCACCACACGACTCCCCAGGACAGTGTTAATGCTGCCATTGACAACTGATTTAGTCATTTCTACGCTGTCTTGCACTGCTTCTTTAGTCTTGCCCACAACTCCAGTAATTTTGTGGGTAACAGTTTCCTTGGCACCAGTCACAGTGGTTGTTACAGCTTCCCGGGCTCCAACAACTACATCCTTGGCATTGGCAACAACCTGTCACAGAAGATAAGTTGATTCAGTTTCATATTTGCTGTGAAGTACATAATTCAGGTACAAGATTTAGCATGAACTTGTTTTAAGTCAGTTATTTAGGAGAACTCTGTGCCAAAGACAGAAACAGAACAAAATACAACTGTATCATGCAGTCTGCATATCAAAACTCCTCAGTGAATGTAGTTAGCAGTCTGCTTTACACTGTGCRGAAAAAAAATGGATGGAATCTTAAATCTTAAAAGCAGCTATAGATACAATAAAAGGAAAGCTACCAAAAAAATGAGATTTAATGAACTTACAAAGAAACTGCTCTATAGAAATATCCTCATTGTTTCTCTGTTGTGCCTCATTCTTGATTGATTCATATTCCCTCCTCCCCCCCCCATTTTGGTGATAATAAAAAAGTGTCTAATATTTCTACCTTCATATGCATATTACAGAGATATTACCTTGTCACTGGGTTGATTCAGTATAGGCAGCTTCTCTTCAATTTTGTCTAGACCCATACACGCATAGTTGTTGGCAACTACAACTAGAAGAAAGGAAAAGAAAAAGTGTAATTGGGTTTTGATCTGAGACTCACCTTAGTATAAAAGAGGGAGAGATAATTTCCATGCAAACAGAGAGCTCATGCTGTAAAATGCTTAAGGCCATTTCATCCGTTTTGTAAGTGAGGTCTGAGGTTGCATAAGCTTACAACAACATTGGAGCCATATCATATCATCAAGCACTTGGAAGCAGAGAAAGCCCTTGCAGATACCCTTCAAACAACCTTCAGAAGAAGCCAGAGTATCTGGCCTTCTGCCATTCGGTGAACAGGGTCCTTACTTAGAAAGCCTTGCAACTTGGCTGCCAGGCTTCACCACAAGCTGTCCTCTGAAGCAAGTACAAAGCAGCACTGAAACTTGGTGAAAGGTTAGGGAGGTGTGGAGCAAGACATGACATAATCAAGCYGTCTTGTAAATCAAGAGGAGCCCGTCAGTTTAGTCTTAAGAAACCTGCCACCTGATTTCTCTCTCGACTGCTTTCATTTTACTTGTACCCATCTGGTGAGACACTGAACAAACAACAAGTTCCTAAGCTATCCAACTCAGCACCGCAGAGCGGCGGTTCAGCCTGTGCTGAACTAAAGTATCTACAAGCGCCCCTGAGCACATAAAGCAGCACGCTGAACTCGAGGAGGCCCCRCTGTCTTACTCTGCGGTTCCAGCTTCTGGATGATGGGCATGGCACCCGTCATGGCCACCGAGGTAATGGTCTTCACRCCCTTCTCCGCCATCTCGCACACAGACTTCAGGTAGGGATGGTTGTCCTTCGTGGCCGTGTAAGCAGAGGACACCATGTCGTAGGTGGAGCTCACCARGGGGAGGTTGACAACCCTCGAGACAACGTTCTGTTTGAAGGCACACAAGTTAGTTGAATTTTTGCTTTTATAAACTACATACACACATGAAATTCTGGACTTCACTGACACCTACCTGCTGTGGATCAATTGCTGCCAATGCCATTTTGAAGATCCTCAGCGTCAGATAGCCTGGAGGGGAAAGGCATTACAGAGTTAACACAGTCTCATAACCACTTCCTCTAGTCACCATGCTTACAGCAGCAATCCTCCTGCAATCAGCCACACATATCCAAAGGGTTAGGACACCCGTGGCCTCATATGCAAGAGTTGCATTATATTGCAACAGTTTGGAAATCCAGTCCTTTGTACCCTGACTACTTTCATTTCTTTGGGCAATAGCAAGGCACACACATGAGATTAATCTGAGAYACATTAGTTCAAACAGAATTAGCGAAGAGCTACTGATTCGTGAGTTACTTTGTTAACTGTTTATTCTTTAGGCTTAATACACACATTTTGGTTCTATCTGTTGAACCAGGATGAAGAAAAATCCAGCCAAAAGCTCCAAATCAGCAAGTCACTTCAAGGCTCCAACATTAAAGAATGCTCCTCCCCAATAGATATTTAAGAAGATCAGCTCTCCCTTTAACAAAAAGGGCTCAACAAGTTTCAAACTTGTGTAGTCCCTGTCGTACAAACCTTGAAGGCACTTGGTAGCTTAAGATCAAGTACATGTTTTGCTAACCTCAGCTTAACCTCACTCAAGACATTTTGCCCAAACTCTGAGGGTTCCTGTTTCTAACACCATGCCTGATAAGCAGCCAAGGCTCCCACTGCTTAGTTCTCTCTAAAGCTAGCACTTCTGTAACAGATGGGTCACTGAAATTACCCACTACAGAAAATAACCCTTCGGCATGCTACTTTAGAGTTACTACTGAAGCAGACAGAGCAGTCATCCACCAGATCTTCACTACTCTGAWGTGTAGTCCCACAGAATGTTTACTGTTCTCCCCACAAAAAAAGCGAAACAGAATAAGGGGAGAGGGGAGAACCRTCTGCACCACAAGGCCAGTACCCGCGCTGCGATACCGTGCACAAGAGCACCCTGTCACTCGGTGAGCGCGCACGGCCTGAACCAGCTCTGCAAGGGGCACTTCTGGCCTCGACGGTTCCTCACAGCAGCGCGAGCCCCGCGAGGATCCGCGAGGCCAGGAGGCACGGACCGCAGCCCGCGAGCGGCCCGAGCCGTCCGGACCCGAGCTGCAGGGTGCGCCCCGCAGGGGGTTCCCCCTGGGCCCCGCGCCTCCCGCTACGCCCGTTCCGAGGGACCCTGCGGCGGGCTGCCTGATGCCGTTTGAAGCGCGCTGAGCCCCGGCGCCGCGGGCTCCGCCCATACCCGCGCCGGGAGCGCTGGGAGACCCCTGCGGCTCCCCTGCGGCCGCTCGGGGCCGGGGCGGACTGCCGGCGCGCAGGGCCAAGGCGGGGCTGAGCCCGGCCTCTCCGCAGCGGGGCAGCGCGCGGCACGAGCGCCGCCGGG